CCCCATGGAGGGTCTGGGGGTGTCCCACTGTCCAGGAGGGGACAGACTGGCATGGGAGGGGCTGGGACACGTCCCCATGGAGGGTCTGGGGGTGTCCCACTGTCCAGGAGGGGACAGGCCGGCCACCAGCACAGGGATATCTGGGATGTGTCCCCATGGAGGGTCTGGGGGTGTCCTGTGAGGGGACCAATTGGCCACCAGCACGGGGACGGCCAGGACACATCCCAAGGGATGGTCTGAGGGTGTCCCACAGCCCGTGAGGGGACCAATCGACCACCAGCACAGGGATGGGTGGCACAAGCCCCCGCCACATCCCCATGGAGGGTCTGGGGGTGTCCCTCAGCCCCAATGCCCCGTAACACCCCGTAGCACCCACGTGTCCCTCCCGGGGTGTCCTGCACCCATCACACCCTGGGATGTCCCCCCAGACCTGCCCCCCGGCGTACCCAGCGTGTCCTGGAGGTACTTGCCCCCCACCAGCTTCATGTACTCGTCGATGGCCTTGGTGGCCAAGGTGTTCTCGCGGAAGATCAGGGCCTCGCGCTCGTCAAACCGGTCCAGCTCGGCCACGCCGAGGTCGATGAGGAACGACTGCCAGGGGACGGGATCGAGGGCTTGGTGGCACCCGTGGCCCCCCCAAATGGCTCGGCCAATGTCCCCCTGGATGTCCTGAATTGTGTTTCTATCCCTCCAATCCCATCCCAACTCATCCATCCCATCCTGTTCCGACTCAGCCCAACCCAACCCATTTATCCCATCCCATCCTATCTCAACCCTACCCATCCCACTCCATTCCAGCACAACTCAGCCCAATCCATCCATCCCATCCCATCCCATCCCATCCCATCCCATCCCATCCCATCCCATCCCATCCCATCCCATCCCAACTTATCCATCCCATTCCAACCCATCCATCCCATCCCAACCGAACTTATCCATCCCATTCCAACCCAACCCAACCCATCCATCCCCTCCCAACCCACCCCATCCCACCCATCCCAACCCATCCCATCCCATCCCACCCCATCACCCCGAGGTGCCCCTCCCACCCCAACCCTCCCCTACCCTCCCCGTGCCCACCTTGGCCTTGCCGGTGCTCTGCAGGACGCGCACCAGGGCCCCGGCCAGCTCCTCCTTGTGCCGGGCGGCGATGGCGGGCTCCAGGCGGGCGCAGAGCTGGCGGTAGTGGAAGGTGATGAACTCTGCCAGCTCCTTGTAGCGCACGATGGGCAGCACCCGCACCTCGCGGTACCGCCCGCGCACCCGCAGCGCCGGCGCCCGCTCGGCACCGCCGGGGCCGCTCAGGGAGTACCAGCGCTCCAGCGGCTGCCGCGCCGCCCCCAGCTCGGCCAGCGGCACCGTCACCGCGGCCACCGGCGGCCCGCCGGGGTGGTCGTCGCGGCACAGGGCCAGGGTGAGGGCGCGGGCGGGCGGGAGGGCGGCCAGCTGGAACAGCTCCCCCCAGAAGAGCCCCCCGTCGGCGCCCGCCGCCTTGGCCGTGGTGCGGGCAAAGAGGGTCCCGTCCAGCTGGAGGTGGCAGCGCAGGCGGCGCCGCGGGGGCAGGTCCCGGCCCTCGTACACCCACAGGCTCAGAGACAGCTCCAGGCGCTCGCAGCTGTCCTGCAGGGACGGGGAGGAGGGAGTGGGGACGGGGGGATGGGGCGTGTGGGGACGGCAGGGGACATGTATGGGATGGAGGGGACATGTATGGGATGGAGGGGACATGTGTGGGATGGAGGGGACATGTGGATGTGGGGAGGGGATATGTGGGGATGGCAGGGGACGAGGGGACATGTGTGGGATGGAGGGGACATGTGGATGTGGGGATGGGATGTGTGGGGACAGCAGGGGACAAGGGGACATGTGGGGATGGAGGGGACATGGAGGGGACATGTGGATGTGGGGATGGGGTGTGTGGGGACATGGAGGGACATGGGGACATGTGTGGGATGGAGGGGACATGTGGATGTGGGGACGGGATGTGTGGGGACGGCAGGGGACGAGGGGACATGTGTGGGATGGAGGGGACATGTGGATGTGGGGACGGGATGAGGGGACATGTGTGGGATGGAGGGGACATGTGGATGTGGGGATGGGGTATGTGGGGATGGCAGGGGACAAGGGGACACGTGGGATGGAGGGGATGTGTGGATGTGGGGACAGGGTGTGTGGGGATGGCAGGGGACGAGGGGACACATGTGGGATGGAGGGGATGTGTGGATGTGGGGATGGGATGTGTGGGGATGGCAGGGGACGAGGGGACACGTGTGGGATTGAGGGGACACGGAGGGACAGGGGGGACATGGGGGATAGGGGGGACATGGAGGGATAGAGGGGACATGGGTGGGACACATGGGAATGGTGGGGATGTGCTGGAAGGGACATCGAGGCACAGGAGGGGAGGTGGGGGACTGGCTGGGGGGGCGTACAGAGAGAGGGTGTCCCTGCAGTGTCCCCATGGTGTCCCCATTGTATCCCCATGGTGTCCCTTTGGAATCCCCATGGTGTCCCTGTGATATCCCTGTGGTATCCCCATAGTGTCCCCGTGGTATCCCCACGGTGTCACTTTGGAATCCCCATGGTGTCCCTGTGATATCCCAATGATGTCCCTGTGGTGTCCCCATGGTATCCCTGTGGTTTCCCCGCGGTGTCCCTTTGGAATCCCCATGGTGTCCCCGTGGTGTCCCCGTGGTATCCCCGTGGTATCCACATGGAATCCTTGTGGTTTCCCCATGGTGTCCCTTTGGTATCCCCATGGTGTCCTTATGGTGTCCCTGTGATATCCCCGTGGTTTCCTCATGGTGTCCCTTTGGTATCCCTGTGGTGTCCCCGCGGTGTCCCCGCAGTGTCCCCACAGTTTCCCTGCAGTGTCCCCGCAGTGTCCCCACGGTGTCGCCACGGTGTCCCTTTGGTATCCTCGTGGTGTCCCCACGGTTTCCCCGCAGTGTCCCCGCGGTGTTCCCACAGTATCCCCATGGTGTCCCCACCTTGTTGGGCTGTGCCGTCCGTCGCAGCTCCTCGATCCATCGGTCTCGCTCGGCCAGGGACGTGCAACCGAAGGAGCTGCTGCCCTGGCCCGTGATCACCTGCGGGCACGGGGGGGTGTGCCAGGGGCTCGAGGTGCCCACAGGGGGGGCTGTGGGGGCACCCCGGGCTGCCCAGGGGGCTGTGCCAGGGGCTCGGGGTGTCCTTTTGGGGTGCCCCTTCATGGGTTTGGGTGCCCTGGGTGCTCCTTTGAGGGGTCTGGGTGGTCCTGGGTGCCCCTTTAGGGTGTCCCAGGTGCCCCTTTAGGGTGCCTGTGATGCCCTGGGTGCCTCTCCAGGGTGCCTGAAGTGGCCTGGGTGTCCTTCCAGGGAGCCAGGAGCGCCCAGGCCGCCCTGGGTGCCCGTGCAGGGTGTTCTGGGTGCTCTGAGCTGCCCTCCACAGCCCCTGGGTGCCCGTGCAGGGTGTTCTGGGTGCTCTGAGCTCCCCTCCACAGTCCCCGGGTGCCCCTCCAGGGTGCCTCAGGTTCCCCTCCAGGTTGCTTGGGGTGCCCTGGGTGCTCGGGGTGCCCTGGGTGCCCCTCCACAGTGAAAAGGGTGCCCCGGGTCCCCCTCCAGGTTGTCTGGGGTGCCCCCCAGGGTGCCCTGGGTGCCTCTTGGGGGCTCCCTGAGCCCCCTCAATTTACCTGGAAGCAGAACCTCTCCCCCACGACGCTGCCGTGCACCGGCCGCACGATCACCGAGCCCCCGCTCAGGTCCAGCTCGGTCGGGGGGTGCAGAGACTCCCGGGACCCGCTACAGCTGGGGGCCCTGGGGACAGGGGTGTCACTGGGACCCACCCACCCAAACTGCCCCAACTGGGCACCCAGAGGGACAGGGGTGTCATCAGCACCCACCCACCCAAACTGCCCCAACTGGGGACCCTGAGGGACAGGGGTGTCACCGGGACCCCCTCAACACCCACCCACCCAAACTGCCCCAGCTGTGGACCCTGAGGGACAGGGGTGTCACCGGCACCCACCCACCCAAACTGTCCCAATTGGGGACCCCGAGGGCCAGGGCCAGGGGTGTCACCTCTCTCCCTCGGGGCCCGTCCCCGCCGGGGTCTCCACTTTGGTGCCGCCGCGACTTTTCCTCTCGCGGAGCCTCTTCCAGAGGAGCCCCTGGATGGCGCGAGGGGACAGCGACAGTGACAGCGACAGCTCCGTGTCACCCCCGGGAGGGGTCCGGCACCCCGGGGGGCTGGGGGGGGCAGGGCAGGGGGTGCCCGAACCCACCTTGACGTTGCTGAGCTGGGAGCTGGGGGGGGTCTCGCTCTCCCGGGCGCTCCTCTCATCCGCGGCCGCGTCTGGGGGGGAAAAGCGGGGTCAGCACCCCCTCCCTGGCACCCCCCGGGCACCCCCACACCGTGCCAGGGGCTGGAGGGGCAGGACACCCCCCGGGCACTCCCACACCGTGCCAGGGGCTGGAGGGGCAGGATACCCACCCCAACCCCCACCGGTGTCGGTGCAGCCGAGTTTGGGGGGGAAAGTGGGTGATGGCGGGGGGTGTGAGGGAGGAGGGGCAGAGGGATTTATCCTGCTCCCGGCTTCGGTGCCCAGCGCTGGTGCCCAGCGCTGGTGCTCAGTGCCAGTGCCTGGAGTGGGTGCCAGGCACCAGTGCTGGTGTCCCAGTGTCACTGCCCAGCCCTGGTGCCCCAATCCCAGTGGTCAGTGCTGGTGTCCAGTGCGGTGCCCAGCTCCAGTGTCCAGCCCCGGTGCCCCAATCCCAGTGGTCAGTGCTGGTGCCCAGTGTGGTACCCAGCTCCAATGTCCAGTCCCAGTGCCCCAATCCCAGTGGTCAGTGCTGGTGCCAAGCCCCAATGTCCAGTCCCAGTGGTCAGTGCCAGTGCCCAGTGCCAGTGCCCAGTGCCGGTGCCCAGCCCCAATGCCCAGTCCCAGTGGTCAGTGCTGGTGCTCAGCCCCAATGTCCAGTCCCACTGCCCCAATCCCAGTGGTCAGTGCTGGGGCCCAGCCCCACAGTGGTCAGTGCCGGTGCCCCCGAGCCCGCATTGGCACCGGCGGAAGCCGAAGGAGGTTTTACCTCCGGAGCTTTATCGGGGCATCAGCAGCCGCGGCAGCGGGAAGGAAGTGGGCACAGACCGGGGGCACGGCCAGGGACAGTGATAGGGACAGGGACAGGGCATGGCTCAGTGCAGGGCAGGGGGCACAGCGTGGAGCACGGCATGGGGCTTGGCACGGGCTGCTGCAAGTTGTGGGCACGGCACAGGGCACGGCATGGGGAATGGCACAGGGCTTGGATTGGGGCATGGCACAGGGTTTGGTGTGGGGAGTGGC